GCAGGGGAGGTTATTGTAATTATTCAAACTACAGGGGAGGTCCCTGTATTTTTCAGTAACCTCAGGGGAGGTAAATGTAATTTACCCTAGATTTTCGGATAACTGATCATGTGCAGCTTCAATTAGGGCTTGCTCAGCATTATGGATAAGAGAGACAAAAGGAGCATCACTTGATTCTATTGATTTAAAAGACCAACGATTTTAAAATGCCAATTTTAACCCTAGCAATATCTTCCGTCTCGTGTGTTCTCTTCTCTCTAATCTCTCTCTCCACTGCCTTTACCAAAGTAACAACAGGCGTACAAGTTGAAGAAAAAGCTTCTCCCCAAAGCTAATCACACAACAAGCCAAAGCCAGTCAATTTTATACAAAGCATAGAAGACTAAAAAGCCCAATTTAACAAATAAAGCCATAAAACCAATCCATTAACACTGACTGAAGATCATGAGTGTTTGAAGGGCAACCCATTGATCAACCCATCACCAATTCCACAAAACAGCAAAACCCCATCACCAGAATTGTTGAAAAACACCCAATATAACAAGAAAATTATAGAATTCAAATGAAAAGGAGACAAAGCTGAAGAAGCTTACAATAAAATGGGTATATAGCTTGGCCTCTGGTTCAGACTGATTAACAGTGGTGGCATTGAAGAGAGAGAGAGAGAGAGTGATGAGAGAAAGTGGGGCACAGGTTTTGCTACCCACCCTGTTCTACCCGACCCAATAAGGAAGTGGGGCAGGAACCAATTTTGCTACCCGTCCCGTTTTTCCTACTGTCTGATTATTAAAAATATTTATATGTATATAATATGTAATTTATTTTTTTGTTATAATAAAATTACAATATTAAAATATTATACTTAACATTAATTTTTATTTGTTTATTTTTTATCTTATATTTTTTTGCTCATATCTCATATCTTATAATTCTTATTAAGTATAAATTGTTATCCGCAATATACTATGTTATTCATAATTTTTATTAGTATTTTTTTCTTTAACTTATAAAATTAATCCATTTCTTGTCCTTTACCCACCAATCCCGATTTGTCCTGTTCTTAATATGATACGGGATGGAAGTGAATTACTACAAAGACCTATTTTGTCAATTGAATAAAAGTCAGTTTTTAACTTTTTAATTTTTTTGATTCATATTATCTCTTTATTTTTTTTATATATTTAAAAAAAAATTAAAAAATCAAAAGAGTGACTTTTAATCAACTTCTCAAAATAACCCATAACTTGGAAAGCAAAGGACTTAGAGTAAGGAATGAAGGTGAGTGTAATATAGTAATTTCATTTTTTTGTTAATTTATTAAGATGACTCTCGCTCCTTTTGTCTCCCCCAATTTCTCTCCTTTGGTAGCTTTCTAAAAAACAATAAAACTCCTTATATCTACTTTTTAATTAAAGAATTTAGTTAAAACCTCTTCATAATAAAATTTCATACATTAAGGGCAAACATAAATTTTTTTTCTTTCAAAAGTCCAACACACGTTAATACGACCAAAATATTTTTAGTGGGTAATTTAATTTTTTAAATTTTAAAATGATATAACTTTGCATCTAAATGTTGCTTTTTAATAAAATTGGTATTTTTAAAATTCTCTTATCAATATCTATCAAACAAGTTTTTATGTTGGTTATGAAATCTTAAAATATATATATATATGTGTGTGTGATTTTTACAATCGAAATTAACATCAATACTAAAATTTTACTTTATCTCACTGTAAAATTTTACTCTAATTTACAATAAATATTACCGTAAAATTTTAAGTTTTAAATAGTAAAATACCATCATCAACACTAAGCACTGTAATCACTATAATTATTACTAAATAAAGGAGTTTTGGCCAAAGTAAAAGTCTACAATCATTTATAAATAGATTGTCACCAAACAAAACTCAAATAAAATTTTTACATCACAAAATGGTCCAAGGAAAGGGTTTTGGCAAAAAAACACCCTTTTTAATTATGCTACCTTTTAAAAAAAATTAAAAAAAAAGTATTTTATCTCCTTACACTTCAAAATTCCACTCATACCCTTATTTCTCTTTTTTTAAAATTTGTGTCCCTAATATTTCTCTTTTTTCAAATGAAAATAAGTCAAATTTCAAACCAAAATATTCTGAAGTGAACAAAATCTAAAACAAATTTTGAGAGAAATAAATGTAATTTATCTTTCTAAATATAATAAGTTTTATACATATATATAACATTTAATGTATGAATGAAGATAAATAGAATTTGAACATGTTTACCGAGAAACAATATAGATACACTTTTCTAGTTTTCAAAACTGGCTAATGAATAGGTGCCAAATTCAATCTCTGATTTATTATGTTTGTAGAAACACCCAATATATCCGGTAGGAAAAACAATTATTCATTGTCACACACGACAATAATGTAAGCATACCACAAATAGATTTGAATCGTCCATTTACATATTTATAAATAAATAGTTCAAATCTATTTTCGACATGATCACTTCTGACGTGTAAAAATTTTCGTGACAAAAAGACAATTCATGGTGATGTTTAATTGTTATGGTCCAAGACCCGTGAATCTGCTTAGCAAATTAACACAATGTTAAGGCTGGCTATCTTTCTTGGCAACCAGCTTCAGAGATCTTGTATTAGAACAATGTTAAGCCCTATTTTCTTCTCTTACAATCTCACCTAGCTATGTCTTTTGCTTAGCTTGGTTTGGTTGTTTTTCCTTGTCCCATGACTATTTGAAGCCTTTGAATGTTGTTTCACATACATATCTGAATCCCAATAGCAATTGTATATAACATTGTAATGTGTTTGGACTTGGCAAATTCACAAATAAACAAAGATTTGGTGCTAAATTGTGGATACACATGCTCATTCTCAAAATGAAGTTCCCTTTCACATGTACAAGTAGGCAAACTAGAATTAGTTACATAAAACAAAGAGTAATGATATGCAAACATGAAAACCAAATTTGTATACAAAAAAGGAGTACATGTTCTTGATACTTTTTTATTTAATTTAGTGAATGTAAACTTGTAACCAGAAACAATGATTAAGCTTTCACCTTGTACATGGTATAATTTCTATCGAGCACTTAACAGAGTAATAGTGATTTCATTGCCCGTAGTGTTTGCTTCCTTGCTTGACAAAGAACCAATCTGAGGAACATTTCTTGTAGTGAAGAAGCCAAGCTATTTGGTTTGAGACAATGCAGCTTCACTGCCCAACATCAGAACTACAAATGACATGCTTGGCCCATCCTTTGGACTTTCTTGCACACATAAAAGACTCACATGGGTTGATCGCAACAGTTCAATTTGGTAGCATGAGTCCCATAGAGCCTCATCAATCAATTCAAATGACTTGCCTTCTTCATAATAGTCTCCATACCTGCGTAATCCATTACAATATTAACAGTACGAGACACAAGATCCTCTATCTCAAAATTTTTACGTTCTCTATTTTCAAGACACTCACAGTATCCGGTGGACATGGGTACTGTGGAAGAAATAGAAGAGTCCGTGTAATACAACCAAAAAGAGAGTTCTGTACTAGAAAGACAGCGTAGGTGCTGATAAAAGTGAAGATGGTTGATTGGACTTTTTTATCGCTATTCTTGTATTGATAAATAAATTAGGTAGTCGTGTTTTTTTTAAACCAATGCATTTTTAAGGTAACTAACTTAGTTGATTTTCAGCCTTCCTTTTTAAACTAGGGTCTTTTGTAAAATAAAAACTAAGGTAGTATTTGGTAGAATTTTAGAATTATGATTTGGGAATATAGTTATATTTTGAATTTGTGAATTTTGGAATTATGATTTGAAAAAAGAAAATTTATTTGGTTATGAATGTTGAAAAAAAAAATTGAATTTTTGACGTAACATATGAAATGAGAAAAGTTGTTTAGTTATGAGTTTTAAAAAAAAAAATTCAAAACTTAATTAAAAAACTGATAACTTATAACCAAACACACAACTCAGAACTCTATTGAAATTATATTCAAAACTCATAATCAAACTCTTTTTAAAATTCAATTCAAAAAAATAATTTGTTATTTTGGTCTAAAAACATAATTTCTATATTTAAAAAATATAAAAAACAAATATAATTTTTTTTTCTCAAATAACAGGTGGAGATTGACAATTGCAAAAAAAAAAAAAAAAAGAGTACTGTACCAGATGACCGGGTGGACCAAAAATTCAAAAACTATATGGTTTACCAAACATGTTTTCAAAATATGTTTTGAAATTGATTTAGAATCATAATTTGAAAACTTCAACAAAACATAACATTAGAATGTAAGGGTTAGTTTTAGAAAGCATAACACAACATAGCATAAGATTGTGTTTGGATCAAGAATTTAACAAAAGATTTGTGGAGAGAAAGTAAAATGATAGAGAAAAATAAATGACATATAAGCTAAATTTTTTATTTTCCTTTTTCTTTTTTTTTCCCTCCACAAATCTCCTTCAAATCTTTGATCCAAACACAACCTTAATACTGTGTTTGATTGGTGGATTTGACGAGAGATTTGGAAAGATAAAAGGAAAAGTTAGGTGAAATGTGAATAAAATATACTTATATTTCACCTAGTTTCACGCCACTTTTCCTTTCCAAATCCCTCCTCAAATCCTCTAGTCAAACACAGCGTACGTGGAGGTCACTTTAAGGGTCTATGATTTTTTGAAAAAATATAAATATATTATTTTATTTTATTTTTTAAATGGGGGTGCCATGGCCCCCTCCCGTCCCTACACAATTCTGCTGCCATGCCTACATCCATGGCGAAGAATGATGCAGTTTCACTTTGAGTATAGAGATCAAAGATCATCATAACTCTAGAACTCTGAAATAACACAACATAAACAAAAATCCAAACGATAATAAACCAGGGTCAAAATTGGCTCAAATACAAATACAAGTAGTGGGCATGTGGGTTTAGATGGGTAATAAGTATAATCCAGATTGAATTCCCACAACAAAAATCAACATTCAAGATGAAACCAAAATTAACTCTCCTTTTGCTAAAATGTAGTTAGATGTAGAAAAGTAATACAGTGAGGAATTTTTGAGGAAGAAATGTAAAGGTTCAATATAGTTAACTACATGGGTCTTACATATGTATAATCTAATCAATCTATGTTCACTAATCTATGTGTTTGGTATGAATTCTGACCTAACTCAGAGGAAGCCATCCTTCTGTAAACGTGTTGCTCATTTGCATTTAACTCTCTCATATCAATCAACTCATCAAACCAAAGTAAGCAGCGACTTCCACCTCTTCTTATGTCTAAATTTGCGTAAGCCATACAAAGAGTAGTTTTTCAAGCATACTATCTTGCATTCCCTGAGTGTCATGTTCCTGTCGAACCAGGAGTTCCGTGGGTGCGACATTTTATAGCCCGAACACTTGACAAATCCATCTCCATTATGGCAATCCAACGGTGTCCTCCGAACACACCCATTAGACCAATATCCATTTCCCTATTCAGTTTGGTTCTGGGACACAAATTTACTCAAACAACCACAGGCCGGTGAGTTTCCAATGTTACAATTACCGTTCGGACTGCACAATTTATAGTTATCCCAGTATCGGTTGGTCCAGTAGAGTAAAGGACCCATTCCTGTGTTCGATCAATCCATATCCAGCGCTCGACAACACCATTATGACTCAGAGCAAACCTTGAAACAACTGAGCTGAGGGGTTCATAATGATAATACACCACCTCTTTAGTGTAAACCACCTCATATCTGAAGATTGTATCAGGTTTAAGGCTTGGTCTCCCGCTGAATCTGATACCATTCCATGGTCCAGTTCGGAACAGTTCCACAGAACCCCTACTCAGAATATTTTGTGGGTATCCTTGAGGATCACATCAGTATGTAAACTCACCTTGAGCTGGATCATCACTGCTCTTCTAGGACGAGAGGTGGCGCTCTAGGCCCATTACAAAGTTCTTTCCAAGCTTCATGCCCGGTAAAAGAGTATCACACGGATAATCAAAACTTTGCCACAGAAAAAGCCCAGACTTATCGTTGGCATCTTCCACCAGAAGATTTCCAGACTCCATCAGTCGTGCAACAGGGTCCCGTGTAGATCCTGTCATATTGGGAGACCAAATGACGCTGCCAGTACCATTGACAAGGGCAAGAATTCCAGGGTTGATTATAGTTAAGACGCTTGACGGATCGAGGAGTGGGATTTCTCTATTGGGAACCCATACAACGGCACCATATTCCTAAGTATTGATTTCGGGAACTACCAGGGCTGAAAAAACCCATCTCAAAGCTTCCACCAGAAGACACTATGGTGCTGCTGCCTGTAATGGAGTGAGTTTTAGTTATGGTGCTGTATTGGAGACTATAAAGATGGAAAATAAAGAGGAAAAAAATAAATGTATGTTAAGGCTTTCCATTGACAGTCTCACCTTCAATTCATGGACTACCTTTGTTTTTCCATTATTTATTCAATTTATAAGACATGTAATAAATAAATAAATAAATAAGAAACAGAAAAAAGGAAGACTGAAGATGTTTCAAACACATATTCAGTCATCCCGGTCAATGTCAACTTGAGAATTTGTCATTTTTGTTTTCTATTGATCATTTTATTTGCTTCTTTTCATTTAATCTATAGGATAAGCATACAGATAACAAACACTGATACCACTATCAGCACAACATGCCCTTATTTTTCTCTCTATTAGACAAATTGAAGAGCAGGTAAAGATTCCTTTCAATTAGTGGTCCAAAGGGTTGGAATTGAGTATGAACAATCAGCCATGCTCATCAAAATAGTCCAAACCAACTTGGCACAAAATTCAGACGATCAAATTCACAGTCGATCTGGAATTTTGAGAAAAGTAAGGCATTTGAAACTTGATAAGAAAGGAAAAGTAAGCTAGTAAATGGAATGAAAATCATTCCAACTACTCTTTCATAGTCTAGTTTCTTCTTCTTTTACTTTTCTTTTAACAGGAATAGTTTACCTTCTCAAGTGAACAACTCCATTTCATGCATACTACTAGAGGAAAATAAAAGTCCAGTCTGTTATCACTGTCACCTTCTTCATTACCGTAGATTTTTGGACATCTCATCATGTGCAGCTTCAATTAGGGGCTTCCTAAGGATTATGTATGAGATAAAAGGAGCATCAATTGATTCTATTTCACCGAATTTTTTCACCTTCTATGTGGCTGCTTAGTAATATAGTGGGCCTATTATTTTCCCTTCACCATTAAATAAGAGAGACAAAGAAAGATTAGTATTAGAAGCCTACCATGGATAGGGTAAATTCCACTGAATTTCCCTTGAGGTTTCTAGCTACTTTAGTACCTCTGCGTTCTGGAAATTACATTCTCCCCCCATGTTTTTTAGTCGCATTACAATTTTTCTCTATCTGTTAATCAACTGTTAGGTCAACTAATACATAGGGATGATGTTAGCTATTAAAAGTTTTAAGATACCAATTTTAACTCTGTAACATATTCCATCTCTTGTGTTCCCTCTGATCTCTCAGTCCACTGCCTTGTAACAAATTAACAACAGGCACAAAAGCGGAACAAAAAAGATGCTTCTCCCCAAAACACAACAATCTAAAGCCACCCAATTTTATATAAGGCAAGAAAGACATAAAGCCCAATTTACCAAATAAAGCCATAAAACCAATCCATTAACACTTACTGAAGATTATGGGTGCCATGAATACTTTAAGGGAAACCCATTGATCTACAGATCACCAATTGCACAAAACAGCAGAAACCCAACACCAGAATTGTTGTAAAACACACAATACAACAATAAAATTATAGAATTCAAAGGAAAAGGAGACAAACCTTGAGAAGCTTACAATAAATGTGGGAATTATAGCTTGGCATCTGGTGCTGACTGATTAATGCTTATTCATTGTGGGAGAATTTAAACAGTAGATATTACACTGACAGCTGGTGGCCGCAGAGTGCAAGTCTAGAAGCTGCATAATTCTTGAAAATCACTACAATTACTCAAAATAAGTTTTTCAACTTTTCTTAATCTCCTCATCCTTTACTAAGTCCTTCGAATCCTTTCTTATAATACACTTAACATGATTAAAGTTTCTTGTTTTCCTTTCTCTCATTTTAGCAAGTTTATAAACATTCTTTTCTCCATCTTTACTATCTAATCTAATATAAAGATCATCTCAAGACCTCTTGCAGTAAGTCTTACTTTCCCATCATTGGATCATTATTTGCAATAAATCTGCCTTTCCCCCTCATTGGGTCATTATTTAGAAAAGCATACTTTTCTAAATACTAAATGCACCTTTCTTTTGGAACCGCCAGATATTGGGAATTTTGGATTACAAAATTCATGGACCATATAAATTTTTGTTTCCCCTTGTTTGCTTGTTCATTGTTGATTGGGTAAATGGTTTGCAGTGCCGGCCCAAGTTCAAGGCCATTAACGCCATTGCCTTGGGCACACAAATTGGGGAAGGCCTCATTTTGTGAAATGCCCATATAATTGTAAGAATTCTCAAGAATTTTTGTATATTCAATTGTGTTTTTGATACAAGAATATATCAGTATATATAACAATCCAAACCCTAGAACTAAAAAAAGAAACAAAATTATATGCTCAATCCCTAATATATACAGAATATATATACTACCATATATACATAAACCTAACATTCTCACACCCCCGCTGAAACTTAAGATGTTTTAGCATAAAACACTAAGAGTTTGCCAAGAAGAAATTAAAACTGAGCAATGGGGTGGGTCTTGATAAAAAAGTCAGTGAGTTACAAAGTCGAAGAGACGAAAAGAAGCGAGATAGAGCCAAATTGCAGATGTTGACGGACAAAGTGACAACCAATCTCAATGTGCTTCATCTGCTCATGGAAGACGTGTTATGGGCAATCTGAATAGTACTGCGGTTGTCACAGTAGAGGGAGGTCGGAGAAGATTGAGGGACACCCAAATCAGATAAAAGACAATGAAGCCAAACAATCTCAGCAGTAGCATGAGCCATATCACGGTACTCTGTTTCGGCAGTAGAGCGAGTAACAACAGTTTGTTTCTAACTTTTCCAAGAGATCAAGGAATCGTTAAGAAACATATAAAAACCAAACGTGAATTTGCGATCAGTAACACCACCAGCCCAATCAGAATCAGCATAGGCCACTAAGTTCAGAGAGGAAGTAGATGACTAAGCCCAGAGAGGAAGTAGATGACAATAGTAAACCCTGAAATATAGCATCTCGGAGACAGCGAAGAATCCGAACCAATACAGCCCAATGTGTGGAGTGAGGAGCAAAAACAAACTGGCTAACCACATGAACAACATAGACAAGGTCAGAATGAGTAACTGTCAGATAGACTAAGCAACCCACGAGCTCTCGATATAAAGTAAGATCAGGCAAATGAACACCATCAGTAGTGTTAAGTTTCACATTAAGCTCAATGGAGGTATCAAGTGTCAGTAAGACCAGCTCAGTGAATATCTTTATTAGCATACTTGGCGTGAGACAGAAAGTGGCCATTGGGAGAAGAAACCACCTTAATACCAAGAAGAAAGTACCGCAATGAGCCCAAATCCTTCATTTCAAAGGTGCAGAAGAGATCCTGCTTGACCTTAGACATAGCAAAAGAATCAGAGCCAGTAATAATCATATCATCCACATGGAGTAATAAGGCAACAAAACCAACAGAGGTGTGGAGGAGAAACAAAGCAAAGTCCTAGGCAGAAGGATGAAACCCAAGCTCAGTAATAGCAGTCAGAATGCGATCATACCAAGCATGAGGAGATTGCTTTAGATCATACAGAGCATGCCGAAGATGACAAACCTGGACAGAGGAATGGTGAAGGCCGGAGGGAGGATGCATGTAAACCTCCTCAGCACGATGACCATTAAGAAAAGCATTCTTAACATCCATCTGATAAATAGGCCAATGACGAACAGCAGCAACAAATATCAAAGTACGGACAGTAGTCATCTTGGCAACAGGGGCAAAGGTCTTCTCATAGTCAATACCATACTCCTATGAAAAACCCTTGGCAACCAGGCGAGCCTTGTAGCACTTAAGAGAACCATCAAAATGAGTCTTGACGTTGCAAACCCATTTGCAACCAACTAGATTCTTACCAACAGGCAAAGGAACCAACTCTCAAGTACTAGTTTTTTGCAAAGCAGACAACTCATCCTCCATAGCTTGAATCCAATGAGGATCTTGATAGGCCTCCTTATAAGACTGAAGTTTTGAAAAAGAGTGAATAATAGACAAAAACGTACAGTATGAAGGAGAAAAGCATGTTTTAAGAAAATCAAGTTTGACTATCTGTTTACGGATGCGAAGGAGATACTTACGATTAGCAAGATCAGAGTCGTCAACAGCAGGGGCAGAGACAACTGGTGGAGGGAGAGCCTTGTGATGAGAATAGACTAACACCGGAGGAGAAGGAGAATGATAAGGAGGAGAAGGCGCAGGAGGGGAAGGAGGAGGAGAGGAGAGAACAAACTCATGGGGGGTCAGTGGAGAGGGACTTATTAGGAGGGGTGGTATAAGGAGAAAAGGGAATAAGCTCATGGGGAACAGCAGAGATGTACTTATCGAGAGCGACCTCAGAAGGAAATGGATCAATATAAACCAAATCCTCTTTGGAAACTGGGGCTGTGAGAGGAAGAAGCTGAAAGTAAGGTAGACATTCAAGAAAGGCAACATGGCGGGAGACATACAAGCGGCGGGAAACAAGGTCATAACAGCAGTAACCTTTTTGAGTGAGACTATAACCCAAAAAGGCACATAGGACAGACCAGGCACTAAGTTTGGTCCTATCTTTACGGGGTAAAAGCACAAAACAAGCAAACCCAAATACACGAAGGAGGGAGTAATTAGGAAGTTGAGAAAACAAAGCCTCATAAGGAGACTGACCAGAGAGAAGGGAGGTACGCATACGGTTGAAAAGAAAAGCAGCAGAAAGGACTGCCTCACCCCAAAACGGAGCTGGAATGGAGGTAGAGAGGAGAGACCTAGTTGTCTCAAGAAGATGACGGTATTTACGCTTAGCTCAACCATTTTGGACAGGTGTATCAGTACAGGAAGTTTGGTGAATGTAGTGTTCTTAAAGGCTCAAGGCACACCAAGGTGTTGAAGGTCTGTTAGGGCCTAGGTGCAAGGCGTGAGGCGAGGCGCGGGCTTTATTAAAGCAAGGTGTACAGTCTTAGAAAAAATAGATAAATTAACATAGACTAATCATTCGTTGTACTAAGACAATTTTTTGTAAAATAAAAAGTAATCAAGACAAATTATTGGGCTCTACCAAATGGGCATTTTGCCACGCCAAATCTTTTCTATTATTTTCAGATGTCATTTTCTACACAACAAATTTAATAAATGAAAAATAATTTCAATGTAATATAATATGTGATTAATTAATTATTTGTATTTTTTTTCTTAACAAAGACGAGGAAAAAAAAAACTGACCAACAAAGCATCAAGAAAAAAAAAAAAACCCCAGCAGTGCCAGAAAAAAAAAAAAAAAAACCAGCGATGAAGAAGCAACCAAAAAAAATAATAAAATAAATAAAAATAGAGAGACAAGACGATAGCACAGGAAAGAAGAAGAAGAGGAGGAGAAGAAGGAAAAAAAAAAAAAGAGCCAGCAACAGCAGAAATGGATAATCAACCAAAAAAAAAAACAGCGAGATGAGACGACAACACCTAAAGACAAAGAAGAAGAAGCAGAAGAAGACGAAGACGAAGACGAAGAAGAAGACTCACCTGTGCGAAGATGAAGTCGCGATGAGCTGCAGACTGCGCGAAGAGGAGACAACACCTTTCTTCGATAGAGTTTAGGGCTTCGACTGTTGGGTATTGAGTAGTATGAGTTGCAATCGTATGTGGTTGGCCTCATTCAAACTCAGATGAGAACCATCAGATCAGATCAGAGCCTAAAAAAAAAAAACACACAAAAGGCACGCTTAAGCGTCGCCATGAGGCTGTTCGCGCCTGACCCAAGGCTCGGCAAAGGCGCGCGACTTATCTACCTCGCCTCGCCTTAGGTCCGTTCAGTCGCAGAGCCTGCGCCTCACTATGCCTTGCGCCTAGGTGTACCTTTCACAACACTAGGTGAATGGTACCCAAATTGGCCAGATATTCACATAACTTAGTTTTAAAGTATTCCCCGCTCAAGTCAGACCGCAACAATTTAATAATAGACCCAACTGTGTAGTGACTATAGACTGAAAAATATGATATATTTGGTAGAAGTCAGACTTATGAGTTATAAAATAAACCCAAGTGTAACGGATGCAGTCATCAACAAATAAAATATAGTATGCAGAACCCTCTTTAGTGAGAACAAGAAAAGGACCCCAAACATCAGTATGAACTCAAGAAAAAGGTGTATCATATATAGAGTTACTTGTACGGAAAAGTAAGACTGTCATTTTGGTAAGTTTACACCCCTGACACTCGGTAAGTTGAGTAGAAGAAATTTTACCCAATATACCTGACTGAGCTAAAGACCATAAGCGATTAGTGGACAAATGCCTTAATTTGGAATGTCACAAATATAAAGGACTTGACAAAGAATCTAACTGAAAAGAAGAAAAAGCAGTCAGAGAGGTAGTCATAGGTAGATGTAGGCTCTCCACCACATAGAGGTCTCCAACTCTATGACTAGTCCCAATTTGCTGCTTGGATATCGGATCCTGCACAGAACAGATAGAAGAAGAAAAAATAACATCAAAATCGGGGGCATCAAGCTGACTAATAGATAATAAACTGACAGATAACTGAGGAACATAAAGGACAGATGGAATAGAAACAACAGACATAGCAGACGGTAAGACAAACCCAATAGATATAACAGACATACCAGACCCATTAGCAGCATTAACAATAATAGGAATGGAAGGGGAAGTACAATTTTGAAGTAAGGAGAGATGGGAAGTCATATGATGAGAGGCACCAGAGTCAAAAATTCAGATAGACGAAGAGATAACTTAAGAAGACCCTAGCAAACCTGAATAAAGAGCGAAAACAATGGAGGCAGATGAGGATGGTTGGGAGGTAGACAATATACGCTGGAGTTGACTAATTTGAGTACTCAAGGAAGCCAAGTCAAGATCAATAGCCAGAGCAAATGCAGTATAAGCAGCAGCAGGAGCACGAAACTGGTTCTGAGACTGCTGAAGAGACGGGGCAAGCAGACGTCCCTTCTTGGGACAATGGTACTTTCAATGACTTCTCTGATGACAGAAGGCACACTCATCTGAAGCCAGTGGCCCTTTCTTGGGCTTTGTAGAAAGCTAAAGTTGATAGGCATCCGACATCATAATGAACCAAAGCTATGGAATTTTGGGGTCAAAATATAATAACTAGGAGCTGGAGAAGCAAACTGAAGTATACCACTATCTCAGTACTCAGACGAGAGAGAGAGAGAGAGAGAGAGATCAGACCTAGAGCACGCCTCATGTCCTTAGATCAAACTAGACAAACACAGAAAAAGAGGAGGGAGTTACGACTTACGACTCAAAGGGATAAAACCAAAGGGCTAATTTCCAAGAGACAATAGTGATGAAAAAGAGCACCTATGATCACGACTTAGTGAGATTTTGACAAAGAAGACGACAAAGAGACAATTTCTAGGATTTCGGCTCAGAGACGGCTCTGATACCATGTATGAATTCTAAAGAATTTCTGTATATTCAATTGTGCTTTTGATACAAGAATATATCAGTATATATAACAATCCAAATCCTAGAACTAAAAAAGGAAAAAAAATTATATGCTCAATTCCTAATATATACATAATATATATACTACCATATATACATAAACCTAATATTCTCACAATAATAATTATAAATTTGTTGAGTCTTGTTAATGAGTGCCCCGAAATAATTGGTTAATAAAATTTAAAATGGTAGGGCATTTTATTCACACACTTTTATAAATAATGTATAATATTTTCAAACTTCTTAACAAATGGCTTTAGGGAAACCATTTACAAAATTCATATTTTCAATGCTTCTTTTGTAAATCCCAAGTTTTTTATTTTTGGGCCAGCTTCAATTATCCTTCTATTTTTTATTTAATTTAAAAAAAAATTAAAATTAGATGATGGCAGTTTGAAAAAATATTGTCTTTATTTTGTAAGTTTTGATGATTTTTATAAAATTGATTCATTTTCCAAATTAAAAATTTTAAAAGAATTCATACAAATATTAGGAAAGGAAAATACACCAATTGACATACTAAATTATATTTAAAAAATCTACATTATTTTTCAAATGCAAGTATTGCTTACAAAATATTATTGACAATACCCATAACAATTGCTTCTGTAGAAAAAAGTAATTCAAAATTAAAATTTATAAATTCCTACCTATGGTTAACTATATCACAAGAAAGATTAAGTGTATTTGCAATTTATTTTTGAAAATGATATGTTATAGAAACTTGATTATAAAAGCTTAATTAGTAATTTTGCATCATAAAATGTAACAAAAATTAATTTTGACGAAACTAAAATAATAAAGATTAATATTTAAATAAAAAAGATCTCATTTTAAAATTTTGCCTTTGGCCTCATAAAGAGTTGAGCCAACCCAAATGGCTTGATATCTTCTTCTCTAATGGAGCCTGATGAAGCTATTCTCATTAACACCGAAGAAGTTTCAAACACATCAAGTCATCCCTCTCAAAGACTATCAAATTCGAGAGCAAACCATTCTTTTGGGAAAGTTATACAGATTCCTATCAATTAGTGGTCCAAAATGGTTGAGTATGAACAACTAGTCATGCTCATCAAAATAGTCTTACCAAATTGGCACTAAAATCAAACGATTTAATTCATAGCTGACCTGGACTTTTGAGAAAAGTAAGGCATTTGAAACTCCATAAGAGGACAAGTAAAGCTTATAAATAGAATGCAAATCATCTGTACCACCCTTTCATAGTCTAGATTCTTCTTCTTCTTTTTTATTTTTTATTGGAAATAGTCTAGTTTCTCAAGTGTACAACTCCATTTCATGTATACTACTAGAGGACAATAACATGTTTAGAGTTTGTTATCACTGCCAACTGCTTTATTTCCATAGATTTTCGGATATCTCATCATGTGCAGCTTCAATTAGGGGCTTGCAAAGGATAATGTATGAGAGAGATAAAAGGAGCATCCCTTGATTCTATTGATTTTATTTATTTATTTATTTATTTTTATTTTTTTTGAAGGAAAAAAAACAATTTTGAAAGAGGCCTGCTATAAGTATTTCACCAAGAGTATGTCACCGAATTTCTTCACCTTCTATTTGGCTACCCATTCGCCATAAACTAAGAGACAGAGAGTGACCTCCCCTAAGGTTTCTAGCAAATACATCAGTATCCTTGTGGTTCTACAAATTATATCTCCAACCTATGGTTTCTAATCGCATTACAATTTTCTCCCTCCATTAGTCAATTGTTATGTCAACTAATAGGTAGGGCTGATGCCATCACTGAAAATTTTGAAAATACCAATTTTAACCCTAGCAATATAATCCCTCTCTTGTGTTCTCTCTAATCTCTCTCTGTCCACTGCCTGTACCAAAGTAACAACAGGCATACAAATGGAAGATAAAGAATGCTTCTCCCCAAAGCTAATCACACAACAATCCAAAGCCAGTCAATTTTATACAAAGCATAGAGGACAAAACAAAAATCCCAATTTACAAAATAAAGCCATAAAACCAATCCATTGACACTGACTGAAGATTACGAGTCACCAGCCATGAGTGCTTAAAGGGCTTAAAGGGAAACCCATTGATCAACCCATGATCAATTGCACAAAACAACAAAAACCCATCGCTAGAATTGTTGTAAAACACAAAATATAACAAGAAAATTATAGAACTCAAATGAAAATGAGACAAAGCTGAAGAAGCTTACAATAAAATGGGCTTTATAGCTTGGCCACAGTAGAGACCAGACTCACAGTCTGTGGCCGGAAAACACAGGTCTTGAAGCTGCGTAATACAATTACAGAGAAGAACGTGAAACTTTACATAGAGTCACCATTATCGCAGAAGATTCAAATTTTCTTTTCAATTTTCATTAATTTTCTGGGCATCCAGACAGAGGGTAAGAATGGAATAAACGAAAGGGCATTTCAATCAAACACTACTCCCTGTAACAAATACAACAACTATTCTGTGAAAGTTTAATCTCAGAGGTGAGGCATTACATTACCGATAAGAAACGCTTCCAGCATATAATTTTCCACGAGAATCGGCATCAATTGAACTGTAATAATGGACCTTCATGATAATATAATATAAATGCCAAACACCAACACGAAAGGAAGTGAAGATGGGTTTCGAATTCCGATGGAGCAGCGGTGTCGGGTTGGGAAGAGTTGGGGGGGGGGGGGGGGGGTATTTTCCACGAGAATCGGCATCAATTGAACTGTAATAATGGACCTTCGTGATAATATAATATAAATGCCGAACACCAACACGAAAGGAAGTGTAGATGGGTTTCGAATTCCGATGGAGCAGCGGTGTCGGGTTGGGAAGAGTTGGGGGGTGGTTTAATATAGTAATTTGATTTATTTTTGTTAATTATTCGAGGGCCGTGTTGCTGGATAAACTAATTTTTTTTCGATTTGATGATTTTATTTTACTTTAACAAAAAATTAGTTGGGGCTCATTTGTGAAACGTTTGTTCTTTGATACATTGCTATACAAATTAGATTACTCCAATATCTTATTGCTGAACTAAAATAAATTTGTTCAGTCACTTGTTGCTTTATGTACGTTGTAGATTGTCTTCATTGTTGTCGCATTCAGTGACGGAGCCAAAAATTTTATGTGAGAGAGCACCTATTAATTACAATTTCAAAATTTTTCTTTCCTAATCAATAACAATAAAATGATCATAATATTTTGAGCTAATATTAATCATAAAAACTTAAATATTCATTACAAAAGTATCACTAAACTTTCACAATTGACTCTGATGAGTTTTCATTCATTACAAAAATATCACTAAACTTTCACAATTGATCTCGACAAGTTTTCATCTTTTGAAAGTTTTCCATAATAGTATCATTATCAACGCCATAAAAAATGTCTCTTTCTATGTAAACAACGAAGCTATCATTCATCCATTCATCATCCATTCGATTCCGCAACCGATTCTTCACAATATTCATAGCTGAAAATACTCTCTCAACAATAGTAGTTGCAACGAGCAAGATCAATTCTAAAGTTAGGAGCAAATAAACCAATGGATATACTTTATGTCTTCCAGTCTCCACCATTTTCTTTGCAAGATTGGCAATTCTATTCAACCATGAGAACTCAATACTAGAGAGTATGCCCACAATATATGTATCAAGTTGATCATTAAGCACCATGAGCACTACTGTAGAAAATTCATTTGGATAAAATTTAGCAAGATGAATTAAATTTTTCTTGTCAAAATGTGACGACCCAGCCACGTATAATATTTTACATTTAATTAATCAAGATGATTTGGATTTCAATTGATTATTATTCTGATTTAATTGCAGAATTGATGAACAATATTGGTGTTCATTCGTATATAATTTTATAAAAGAGCTATTTTGGAAAGAGAAATTAAAAACTAAAGTAGCTCAGGAAGGTGAAATTGACGAATTGAATTATTTTAATTTAGAGTATCGGACCATATGTATAGCGATCCCGATTGTCCATTTACTGTTCTATTATATTCCGGACTCGGTTCCGTGAAGTTGGTAGTTATATCTATCTTATTGTCATCCTTAAATTCCGTTTGTTTGAGTTATAGGATGTGTTGGGCTTGTTTCGAACAGGTGGATTGAACCTTGGTCTGAAATCTTGTTGTCGGGTTTTTGGTCGTTCCGCTCGAGTGGGTCTTGTTGCGCTCGAGCGGATATTGCACACTCCCAGTTTTTTGTGTCCCTGCAAAACTTCTGCAGGTGTGATTTTTACGCTCGAGCGGTGGCGCTCGAGCGGGTACTTTGGCGCTCGAGCGGGTAGTACATTTGGGTGCAAGTTCTGGGAGGGGGAAATCTACGCTCGAGCGGACTGGTTTTCGCACTCGAGCGGATTTATTTTATTCTTATGTCTTGGCGCTCAAGCGGGCCATTTTGCGCTCGAGCATACCTAGTTTTTGTTCTTGACGCTCGAGCGTTGTGTTTTCTGCTCGAGCGGGAATGTCGTATATCAGTTGGCTGTGGGGCAATTTTAAATCACTTTTTCTCATTCTTTCTCTCTCTTACTTTTCCGAAAAAGCCATTTGAGAGCTCCTCTCTCTAAAACCTTAACTTCTCTCTAAGTATTGATTTAGCTAGTGTTTTCCTCACCTTTGGCTTTTACAAAAGAGTTGTTGATCGTCGAGGGCTATCTTTTGATCCGAGAAACTTGTGGTTTGGAGCAAGTTTGTTTTCATCATCTTCTTCGTTAGGTGTCATCTTTTGAGGTAGGGGTTCCTACTCACTCTTATGGTCTTTGACCTAGATTTTTAGTTGTTTTGATAGAGTGTTGAACTTGGGAAATTTTGGGACTTAGGGTTTCAAAATGTGTAAAAGGGTTTTGTGATTTTGGGCTCATAATATGTATTTTGGGTTTCAAAATAATGATATTGTTGTTGGTTATGGATATATAGGCCATTGGGTCAATATTGGGAAATGGGGTAGAAAACCCTAATTTGTTGTATAAATTAATTGGCATAATTAATTTGGGAAAATTGTAAACTTATGGAATTGAGTTGGAAATAATGAAATCGGTTCATTATGTGGTTGAATAGTGGAGTTAGATTTATTAATCGCTCACTTTTGAAAACATTGATATTTTATCTGTTGGAGCTTTTATTATCTGTTTAGAAATAAATATGCTTATCTTTGGAAGTATTGATACAGCTCATATGCTTATCTTTGGAAGTATTGATACAGCTCATATGCTTATCTTTGGAAGTATTGATACAGCTCATATGCTTATCTTTGGAAGTATTGATACAGCTCATATGCTTATCTTTGGAAGTATTGATACAGCTCATATGCTTATCTTTGGAAGTATTGATACAGCTCATATGCTTATCTTTGGAAGTATTGATACAGCTCATATGCTTATCTTTGGAAGTATTGATACAGCTCATATGCTTATCTTTGGAAGTGTTGATATAGCTAATATGCATATCTGTTGAAATGTGGATATAGCTTGTATGCTTATCTGTTGAGATGTTGATACAACTAATATGTTTATCTATTGAAAAATGGAAAGTGTTCGGTATGAGTCATCGTCTCATATAAGTGGTTGGCCAGGTTTTGAGCCATTGATGTAAATTGTGAAATTGATAAGAAATGGAAACTGAAATAAAACATGAACATAGTGGTCATGAAATGGAAATGGGTTATGAATTGGTTTATGAAAGTTGAACATTTATTAATTGCTAATGTCTTAGTCATTGCTCATACTGTGTTTAGTATATCTCTACTGGGCGTTGGCTCACCCTTTATGGGACATTATTTTCAGGTACAGGTAGTATGCCACCCCCAAGGACATAGCTTGGATGATGATGAGAGTTGAAGACTCTTTCTTTTATTTATTTTGATGTATTACATGTAAATTCAAGCCAAGGGCTTAATATGTATTGAGTTAGTACTCTTCTTTTTGTAACCAAGTGTTAACTTGGAAAGCTGTAAGCCCATAGGGCATTTGCTTTTGTTGTTAACATGTAATACAGTTGTAAGAATTACTCTGAGGAATAGAAATGGTTAAATTCTTTTGTATCAATACATGTCTAAAATGTTGATATAATGTTATTTTTTTTGAGGGCGTTACAATATGGGAGTTCAATTAAATATCCGATTCAGTTTAGTAAAATTGAGATTTTATTAATTGGGTCCGAATTAGAGTTGATTAAGTTATGAAGATTGGAATTAAGATTATTATGAATTAAATTTACTTATTATGTGTTCAATTGAATATGTAATTTATTGATGAAGATTTTGAAGTTTAATCTGAAATTGAAGGCCTTAATGATTTAAGAAACCAAAATTATGGATGGAAATAAGTTTAATTTAATATTTGGAGCCTTTTGGGAGTCTGATTAAAAATCTAATTCAGAATAATAAATTAAAATATAATTAATTGGGTTCTAATGGAAGTCAAATTAGACAAATTAAATTATGTAGGATTTGTGATTAGGTATGATTATTTTAATTATTTGTTAATCAAGATTTATTAAGATAAAGTGTTGCTCAATTAAATTAAGCAAAAACATAAATTGAATTATGGTAGAATCTAGAATTGGGGGTGTATGTGGGTGTGTGTGCTGAGAAATCTGGGTGTGTAGAGAAATTCTGTGTGTGTACTGAGCAAATCTGTGTATGTGTGTGCATGTGAGTAATGTGTTGGAATTCAAGGATGAGTGCACGTGTGCAATGTAAAGAGTGGAGTGTGTGTATATGAGGAGAGAGAGTAGGCAACTCTATTTTTATTACTTGCTGGTAGCATTCTTGTACTAGAAAGAAATTGAGATAAAAAAAGGAGTGTAGCTTCATATTTGTTTTGGGCAAACCCATGAGAGAGAGAGAGAGAGAGAGAGAGAGAGAGGGGAACTCAAACTATTGTGCCGGAGAATTCTAGTCCAGGGCATGGAATACAAGAAGAGAAGTAATGAGAAAGGAAAAGCTCAAGAATTTCAAGCAATTGAAGTTTAAGGTATGATTTTTGTAGAATTCTTGTATTACACTTGAATTGAAGATGAGATTGGGTTCAATTTCATATAATTTGAAAGAAATTAGGAAACAAAGATGAAGAAATTAAGTTAGGTTGGTGGTTATGAAAATTAATTATTTTGGATTTGATCACTACAACAAATTTGGGATTTAAAGACGAAACAAATTTGTCCCAAAACGTATATGTTTCGTCACTCAAACTAATTACGACGAAAATTTTTCGTCACCCGTTTTGTTGCCAAAGCGTCATCGCTAAAGGGTCTTAGAGACGAAAAAACAAATTCGTCATTGAAAATGATAAATTTGTGACGAATTTTTTTGTCTCAAATACCCTATGTTGGGAACATACTTGTAAGTAATTAGCGACAAAATATTTTGTCATTAAAGGAAGAAATTAGAGACAAAAATATTTTGTCATAAATATAAGAAATAGAGACGAAATAATTTTGTCACGTTTAATATAAACGAAGACGAAAATTTTTTGTCAAAAGAAACTACCAATAGAGACAAAAACAAATTTATCATTTTTATCATTAAAAATGATAAATTTGTAATGAATTTTTTTGTCTTCAATACACTCTGTTGGGAACATACTTGTAAGTAATTAGCGACAAAATATTTTGTCATTAAAAAAAGAAATTAGAGATGAAAGTATTTTATCATAAATATAACAAATAGAGACGAAATAATTTTGTCACGTTTAATGTAAATGAAGATGAAATTTTTTTGTCAAAGAGGCTATCAATAGAGACAAAAACAAATTCATCATAAAAAAGGATGAAATAATGTCAAAAAAAATCATCACACATTGAGGGTAACAGTGACAAAATGTGACAATATTTTTCATCATGACAAATTCATTTAGCAACGAAATAAAGAATTTATGACAAAATTAATCTTCCATCTAAGCCAAATAAGAGACGAAAAAACCTTCTTTAGGGAAGGAAAATTTTGTCACTAATTCCATCATATTTTTTTCCACATTATATACCTATTTTATCAAAAGCTGAATTTTAGTTCAACAAATATAACCCTGTTCATGTTGAAACCTGTTGAATATAACAATTCCATTCACAACTTAACTTAACCTGTCATCAACACATTTACGAATTAACAAAATGAAAATATCCATTCATCATTATAAATAATTTCATCCTAATACAATAAAATAGTTCAATATCCACAAAATATCCAAAAGTTATAACTTATACAATTCTACCAAACATCTAACAATAACTAGTGCAACTCCACAAAGTATGTGTATCCTTAGCAAACAAAATGAACATTCAAGCAAATTACATCATTGTTGCACGTCAAAAATTTCACCCCAATCCAATCTGCAAAAAAATAAATTAAAAGTTTTAGTAATTAATTAATTATACAAAAGATTAAAAACATTAGTAACTCATCAATTTACAATTAGATCAATTATATAATTTATCCCTCTAACAGACTTTTTTTTTTCGAGATTATGAGAACAAAAAATTAATTTTAAGGCTAATTCACAAATGGTGCATCCCATTAATGTGCCGTAAGTTCATACAGCTTATATTGGTCCCTCCTAAGGTGTTTCTGTTGGTTCCTGTACAAATCTGTGATTGTGTGATAATTTAGCCTTTCGACGGCCTTTTTTGAAGCTTTAAATATAGAGAAAAAGAAATATTTTTTAGACTAATTCACAATTTATACATCCCGTGCACTTGTACAAATTGGATGTCCTCTACATGTTTCCATTACTTTCTAATTCTTCAAACATATATTCTTTTATAAAATTTGTTATATTAAAGTCAACATACTTTACCAAGAAGAATGTCCACTTATGGATGAATCCCCTCCACTTTCAAAGTGTCCAGTGAATCCTTTGGTCCTCAAAAAGTTGACAACATCAACTATCATCTCCCCTTGCTTCTTCCTACCCTTTGGTCCTCAAAACTAGTTTGTCTACAATGAAATCTGGCTCTAACTCCCAAACCGGGAATCCGATTCGAGTCCCGTCTTCTCCCACAAGTCTCTCGTGCCTAGGCGATCGTGTGTGCCAAGTTTCGTGCTAATCCGACACCGTTTGGTGATTTTGGGGCGTCAACACCTCGAATTCTAAGTTTCTTAAAGAATTAATTTGCCTAGAGTGAAATCCGGCTCTAACTCCCAAATCGAGAACCCGATTCGAGTTCCGTCTTCTCTCACAAGTCTCTCGTGCCTAGGCGGTGGTGTGTGCCAAGTTTTTTTGCTAATCTGACACTGTTTGGTGATTTTGGGACGTCAACGCCTTGAATTCTAAGTTTCTTAAGGAACTAATTTGCCTAGCATGAAATCCGGCTCTAACTCCCAAACCAAGAATCCGATTCGAGTCCCGATTTCTCCCACAAGTCTCTCATGCCTAAACGGTCGTGTCTGCCAAGATTCGTGCTGCTCCGACGTCGTTTTGTGATTTTGGGGTGTCAACACCTCAAATTCTAAGTTTTTTAAGGAACTAGTTTGCTTAGCGTGAAATCCGGCTCTAACTCCCAAACCGGGAAACCGATTCGAGTCCCGTCTTCTCCCACAAGTCTCTCTTGCCTAGATGGTCGTGCGTGCCAAGTTTCATGCAACTCCGATGCCGTTTGGTGATTTTTGGACATTAACACCTCAAATTCTAAATTTATAGGGATGATTGATCAACTCTCCCTCTCAATCCACACTTGTTAAGCCATATTTTCGCCTATGTAGCAAGCTTCATTTGAGGAAGAAACATGTAGGGCCATTTCAGAACCTTATCCAACAACAAAGTATTCTTCAGTTTTCTATACAACTTCTAAAACAACATTTCCAAATATTAGAAGTGAAAACTGTTACCTATTATTGCATGCATCATCAATTTAGCATAATGTGAATCAAAAGCACTGAAGTGAACATATGCATTAACGAATAGATAAATAAATATATGCATAAATGCATTCTTGTGGAAGAAAATAGAAAGTAATCTAACATTTTCTATTGCAGCTTGTTCAATTAATGCACAGCCCAGTACCCAATTTACAAAACTACTCGAATCACTCTTGAATTTTTGCTAAATTGAAAGACATACTTTGAAGACTGGAGCTTAACTTCATTGAACTAATTGCTTGTAAAAGATTATAATCATTTCAGGATTTTACCATAATAAAAAAAGGAAGACCAGACCAAATGTTCTATTATATGATTGTTAGGTGCATTGACATTTATGAATTATGAACTCTGTTGACATACCCAGATATATGTGTGTGTGGAGAATATATTGACACAACAAACTTAGAGTATGTAGGCAGTAGGTGTAATGAAATTTTGTTAGCAAGGTAAAGTTATTTAAGCATAAAAATTACATGATTAATAGTTTGAATACAAAGAAGTTTATGATACCTTTAACTTCTTGTACCTTTTAACTTCTTGTACCTATAGACCGCACCCATAATATTTAGCAGCTGTCTTTTATATTCATGGATCCACTTGAACTGTGAGTCAAAGAGGCTATTTGGGTCAATGCTTACACCTGTCACTTGAAATATGAACTGAGCTAATCGCTGCTTGTCAGCCATCTTGGCTGATTCCCACTCAGCTTGGAAGTCTGCATCGTCAGCAAACAATTGGAGAAGAAGGTTCAGTAGTGACATTTATAACCATACAGAAAAATTCACCGACAGATGATTTTTAATATGATCTAAAAATCATCTCTAGTACATACTTTCTGAAGATCTACAAGTAGGTCAAGGTTGGTCACCCATTGATCATTTTTTAACCGTTTGGTGATGATGTGGCTGAGTTCAGGGCTACAAAATCAAAGCCATCTGCGAGGAGTAATACCATTGGTTTTATTCTGGAACTTCTTAGGCCATATAGAGACATAATCTGCAAATAACTCAGACTTTAAAATGTCACTATGCAACTGGGCAACACCATTCACCTGCAGACAGATGGCCAACGAGAGAAGTCACTTTTTCATTTCCAAATGAAATTGATCAACATATTATAAGAGGTAGTAAAGGATTACTGGATCAAGGGCTTAACAAATGAGCAGGACTACGGGCATACGACTAAATAAAGGCAAGGAAGCAATATAACAATAATAGTAAGTCAAGGGGACAACATGATTCAATCAGCAGGATTTTTTAGCTTTTGATAGTATGGTCTATATCTAGTTGGAAATTAAAATTACTGTAGCTCCCAAATCAACATAAAAATGGTAGTTTAACAATAAGAAAAGAAAAAAAAATCAATATTCAGTACGGAGATGTTCTCAAGAAAACTTATTAATGGTTTAATACAATTTTCTGCTTTTAGCTTTTCAACAACTATCACTCGGTAATTCTCATAAGAGTTTTAGATTATGGGGGTACACAATATAATCTGTTTGTTGATCCACAAAGAAGGGAGCTCATGCCGTATGTGAAGACACCACGCATAAATTTGCCATCCGCACAACTGGTTTTTGGGGATTTTTATCCATAACACGCATGCTGGAAAGCTTACTTTCAAGTTCTGGATTTGTTGAACGTATCATTGCTATAAACTGCAAGAATTTCATCTTCTTTTTTCAGAAATTGTAAAACAATATACACATAATAAAGAGAGAAAATAAGACAGGATGGACAAACCCTCTTGTTGATTTCTTCAATGATTTCCATATGGTGAGGAAGAAGTTTCCACATAACAGCTTGCGAACATTTCTCCAGTGCCTCAGGAAGGACAGTATGATTTGTATAAGCAATTGTCCTGGTTTAAAATTTCCCTTTCTGTTATTCATTAGCATCAATCATAATTTTGCACTATGAACACACTCAAAGTGGCATTAGAAAAAATAGGTGCCAAGAAAGAGTAAATGAAGCAAAACAATTAAGAGAAAACGATAACTGCACCTTGTTGTCACATCCCAAGCTTCATCCCATCCAAGTCCGTCATCATCCATTAGTAATCGCATTAGCTCTGGAATTGCAAGAGTAGAATGCGTATCATTCAGCTGTACCGCAACCTTATTGGGAAATTTAGACCACTGCCACGAGCTCTTTCCATCTTTTCTCTCCTTAAATCTGACAATCATGTCTTGAGATTGATTCCATGATTAGAAAACAACATGGAAAAGTAGCAACTGAGATTAATATCAACAAAATTAAATAAGAAAAAGGAATCACGAACTTAGTACTAAAGAAGGATGGAGGACCTAAACAAATACAGAATTAAAAGGCAGCCAACCTGAAGTGATGCACTGCGCAGGAAAAATTGTTGCTTCAATCGCAAAAGCTTTCAATTTTCTGTGGCATCCCCAGGATATAGAACAACACAAATTTGCAAAGGCACATTTCCAGATCACTATACCATGCAAAAACAATTGAAACACAGATGAGAACAGAAGCAGCTTTCCAATAGTTACAGTTACATTTAGTCTGAGCATTTATTATGAGAAAGAAAAATATAGTAGTTTTAATTCAGGACATATTGCTTTTTCCTTCAATGATTTTGTATTTCACAATTATAGCTTAGAACGAAGACCAAAACCAGAGTTTTCCTGAACAATTATTCACAGCCCTAGAGTAGAAAGATAGCAGAGGTTTTGAAAGAAGTGAATGACATTTTGGACAACAAGAATGCAAGGGACCATGGTAGTATGTCATGAATTGTGTTCTTTGGCCAAAAAGGGAGGCTCTCTCTCCTTTATATAGTAAGGAAAAACCAACCTGCTGAGCTCTAGAATGGAGCTGTGCAGCCGATTCATATTGTCCATCATTAAATTGAAAGAGGTTGAAGTCTTCAGCACCAGCTTTGGCTTCCCACAGATGAAGATTAATAGTGTTCTTGGTTTTGTATCCTGGAATAGGAACATCATATGCTAGAGCTTGTACAACCTCCCCACCAACCCATTTCCGCCTGTAATGCATTCAGAAAAAACCATCAAATGGAGAACGTGCAGAAAATCCAAGCAACCCCGCAACTACAAATTTAAATTCAGAATCAAACTAAGACTTATAATCACTTTCTTGAACCTAAACATATGAGCAACAATCCAGTTATATGCAAAGAATCCTATAAGTCACACTTACGATCCAGAGGGATGTATTTCAACTTGACCAAAAAATCTGACAGGGAACACAATGTCATGTCTGACAACTTCCCAATGGCTAAACTTCTGCACGATTCCCACCAAATTTAGGCTTAGTAGCCTTCCATAATATAATCAATATTTAAAAGGGCTATCATGTAAAATCAAACCTCAAGCCAGTCTTCAACAATTTCTTCTTGGTTTGCCAAACCGCTGCTTGAACAACCCATATCTGTACCTCAAACCATACTCCCATGCAGGCAAATTTAATGCTGGCATAGAATCTAGAAAGCAAGAAGCAAGCCTTCCCAGACCCCCATTTCCAAGAGCTGCATCTTTCTCCTGAAAAAAAAAATATTTCTGAAATAATCAATAACTTGATACAGTTACAGACTAAAGTAAGTAAAAGAATGAATATAGCCCAAAAACACACTAAATATTTCTGTTTTGCAAGTGGTGAATGGCTGATATGTCTACCTAAGGTCCATAAGAATGTAAAACCTCACCAAGTTACTAACAAAATTGAACCAATAAAATTGTGTCAAATATTATAGAAGCATCTTTTACAACAAAGCACAAATAATAATAGACTTTCTCAGCTTCTTTGAGCCAAAATCAGAAGCCAATATGAAATCAAATGAGATGGGTAGTTATAAATGGTAAATCTAAATGCAAAGACCTCCATGGCAAAATGCTTAGTACCTAAGTATTGATGCTTATTGAACAAAACTAGAAGCTAAGTCCTATGATATCTAATCAGCACATCTTTATTACCATGCAATTTGTTATTGAAGCATAGTTCCATGGAAAAAGAGTAACGCAAAGTCCTAAACATAGAATTAAAAGGTAAATAGGAAAGGAATGAAGAATGGATAGAAGAAAAGTACTGAAATAAGTCTAAAATAGACTAAAATACCAAGAAAACATTAACTACAAGAAGTGTGAGCTTATAATAATCATTGAACAAAATGAAACTATCATTAGTAATCATTTCAAACTTCAAAGGGTAGAGACAAACTCGACTGCTATGCCAAAAAACCTAGAGAAAACTGTACACAAAACAATGCCAAAAAACAAGATTGTCTTCTGTATTGAACAAGAGAAATGTTGGAAGAACTGTAATTAACAAAACCCAATTGTGCTGTTATTGACAAAACATTAAAGCTAATTATGACATGTATTTAATTCAAAGGAATCTATCTAATCTCTTGACTACAAAAGATAAATCATGAATTTAATTCCTTTGAAAAAGGCTACATAAATCCTATTTTTTCATTCCACTCAATCAAGGGTGTAAAATTAATCTAAGTTATGCACTCAAGAAGTGGGTAATTGCTCTGTTACTTGTCAAATTTTGTCCTCGTCTTTTGTTTGCATAAAATTTCTAATTTAAAGCTCAAAAGGAAAAAAAATAAAAAGAGAAACCTCCTATTTGGCTTTATAAAACTTTTTTTAATTTTTTTTTTATTTAACTATCTTGTACCTGGTGGGGTCACTAATTTTAGTAGATTACAAGAAATTTGCTATAAATCCCAAAATGAGATTTGAGAAATAGTCAAGTTCTGACAATCTTTATACATCTTAAAACATTATTTTGACCATTTTCCTATCTATTTAGGATCAGCCAATGCTTTGAGGGCAGATAAGGATGACAGTTTGTTATGGAAAGCCAAGAGCTCTGGTCAGTTTATACTTCAATCCAAATTCCAATGATATAAGAGGAGTTGATTAGATGATTTGGCAGAATGTAACCCCACCCAAAGTCAGATGTTTTGCTTGGTTAGCTTGGAGACAAAGATTGAAGACTGCTACATACTTGCAAAGAGTTTGTGTTATCAATGGCAATGCCAATATGGATTGTGTGTTCTGTAATGCTGAACCAGACTGTGAACCATGTGCTACTATGGTGCCCACATATCTGGAGAATTTGGTCTGATGTGCTACTATGGTGGGGGATCCATTGGGTGATGCCAAAATCTGTGGAAGGAGTATTGCTTTGGTGGTCTGGGTTCACATTCAACAAATTTGAATAGAAAATTTTGGAAAGCCTTACCTCTGGTAGTATTGTGGTCCATCTGGAAGCTGAGGAATGTTGTTTTCCTGGGTAAGCAACGGCAAATATGACTTTTCGCGACTAAAATGTTTTAGCTACTAAAGGATTAGTCGCAGTAATTATATATTTAGCGACCAAAAATTTAGTCGGCAAATATGACTTTTCGCGACTAAAATGTTTTAGCTACTAAAGGATTAGTCGCAGTAATTATATATTTAGCGACCAAAAATTTAGTCGGCAAATATGACTTTTCGCGACTAAAATGTTTTAGCTACTAAAGGATTAGTCGCAGTAATTATATATTTAGCGACCAAAAATTTAGTCGGCAAATATGACTTTTCGCGACTAAAATGTTTTAGCTACTAAAGGATTAGTCGCAGTAATTATATATTTAGCGACCAAAAATTTAGTCGGCAAATATGACTTTTCGCGACTAAAATGTTTTAGCTACTAAAGGATTAGTCGCAGTAATTATATATTTAGCGACCAAAAATTTAGTCGGCAAATATGACTTTTCGCGACTAAAATGTTTTAGCTACTAAAGGATTAGTCGCAGTAATTATATATTTAGCGACCAAAAATTTAGTCGGCAAATATGACTTTTCGCGACTAAAATGTTTTAGCTACTAAAGGATTAGTCGCAGTAATTATATATTTAGCGACCAAAAATTTAGTCGGCAAATATGACTTTTCGCGACTAAAATGTTTTAGCTACTAAAGGATTAGTCGCAGTAATTATATATTTAGCGACCAAAAATTTAGTCGGCAAATATGACTTTTCGCGACTAAAATGTTTTAGCTACTAAAGGATTAGTCGCAGTAATTATATATTTAGCGACCAAAAATTTAGTCGGCAAATATGACTTTTCGCGACTAAAATGTTTTAGCTACTAAAGGATTAGTCGCAGTAATTATATATTTAGCGACCAAAAATTTAGTCGGCAAATATGACTTTTCGCGACTAAAATGTTTTAGCTACTAAAGGATTAGTCGCAGTAATTATATATTTAGCGACCAAAAATTTAGTCGGCAAATATGACTTTTCGCGACTAAAATGTTTTAGCTACTAAAGGATTAGTCGCAGTAATTATATATTTAGCGACCAAAAATTTAGTCGGCAAATATGACTTTTCGCGACTAAAATGTTTTAGCTACTAAAGGATTAGTCGCAGTAATTATATATTTAGCGACCAAAAATTTAGTCGGCAAATATGACTTTTCGCGACTAAAATGTTTTAGCTACTAAAGGATTAGTCGCAGTAATTATATATTTAGCGACCAAAAATTTAGTCGGCAAATATGACTTTTCGCGACTAAAATGTTTTAGCTACTAAAGGATTAGTCGCAGTAATTATATATTTAGCGACCAAAAATTTAGTCGGCAAATATGACTTTTCGCGACTAAAATGTTTTAGCTACTAAAGGATTAGTCGCAGTAATTATATATTTAGCGACCAAAAATTTAGTCGGCAAATATGACTTTTCGCGACTAAAATGTTTTAGCTACTAAAGGATTAGTCGCAGTAATTATATATTTAGCGACCAAAAATTTAGTCGGCAAATATGACTTTTCGCGACTAAAATGTTTTAGCTACTAAAGGATTAGTCGCAGTAATTATATATTTAGCGACCAAAAATTTAGTCGGCAAATATGACTTTTCGCGACTAAAATGTTTTAGCTACTAAAGGATTAGTCGCAGTAATTATATATTTAGCGACCAAAAATTTAGTCGGCAAATATGACTTTTCGCGACTAAAATGTTTTAGCTACTAAAGGATTAGTCGCAGTAATTATATATTTAGCGACCAAAAATTTAGTCGGCAAATATGACTTTTCGCGACTAAAATGTTTTAGCTACTAAAGGATTAGTCGCAGTAATTATATATTTAGCGACCAAAAATTTAGTCGGCAAATATGACTTTTCGCGACTAAAATGTTTTAGCTACTAAAGGATTAGTCGCAGTAATTATATATTTAGCGACCAAAAATTTAGTCGGCAAATATGACTTTTCGCGACTAAAATGTTTTAGCTACTAAAGGATTAGTCGCAGTAATTATATATTTAGCGACCAAAAATTTAGTCGGCAAATATGACTTTTCGCGACTAAAATGTTTTAGCTACTAAAGGATTAGTCGCAGTAATTATATATTTAGCGACCAAAAATTTAGTCGGCAAATATGACTTTTCGCGACTAAAATGTTTTAGCTACTAAAGGATTAGTCGCAGTAATTATATATTTAGCGACCAAAAATTTAGTCGGCAAATATGACTTTTCGCGACTAAAATGTTTTAGCTACTAAAGGATTAGTCGCAGTAATTATATATTTAGCGACCAAAAATTTAGTCGGCAAATATGACTTTTCGCGACTAAAATGTTTTAGCTACTAAAGGATTAGTCGCAGTAATTATATATTTAGCGACCAAAAATTTAGTCGGCAAATATGACTTTTCGCGACTAAAATGTTTTAGCTACTAAAGGATTAGTCGCAGTAATTATATATTTAGCGACCAAAAATTTAGTCGGCAAATATGACTTTTCGCGACTAAAATGTTTTAGCTACTAAAGGATTAGTCGCAGTAATTATATATTTAGCGACCAAAAATTTAGTCGGCAAATATGACTTTTCGCGACTAAAATGTTTTAGCTACTAAAGGATTAGTCGCAGTAATTATATATTTAGCGACCAAAAATTTAGTCGGCAAATATGACTTTTCGCGACTAAAATGTTTTAGCTACTAAAGGATTAGTCGCAGTAATTATATATTTAGCGACCAAAAATTTAGTCGGCAAATATGACTTTTCGCGACTAAAATGTTTTAGCTACTAAAGGATTAGTCGCAGTAATTATATATTTAGCGACCAAAAATTTAGTCGGCAAATATGACTTTTCGCGACTAAAATGTTTTAGCTACTAAAGGATTAGTCGCAGTAATTATATATTTAGCGACCAAAAATTTAGTCGGCAAATATGACTTTTCGCGACTAAAATGTTTTAGCTACTAAAGGATTAGTCGCAGTAATTATATATTTAGCGACCAAAAATTTAGTCGGCAAATATGACTTTTCGCGACTAAAATGTTTTAGCTACTAAAGGATTAGTCGCAGTAATTATATATTTAGCGACCAAAAATTTAGTCGGCAAATATGACTTTTCGCGACTAAAATGTTTTAGCT